ACATCTTTACTAGCACTCAGCATTGCAGTCTTGTTGCAGTCAGACGTCCCTCACACTTGGTGACCTTATCTTTGTCATATTCACCCCCTCCAAGCCAAGACAGGAGTTGTTTTCTCACCTCTTCTAAAGCAACCACCTCTTCAATCACTCAACAGAAATTAAGTGGCTCTCAGCTCCCACCATGGTGACCATTCTTTTTTGTTCCAGTGTCCACAACACTGCCTGGAACTGGGAAAATCCTTCTCTGGTCAAACATTCATAAAGCATTACAGCACCATCATGCCCTTTCTCTCCCCCTTCCCCAGTCCTCCCAGCAGGAGCTCCCCAGGTTTCTGATGTACATCCTGTTCCAAGGGTGCAATTGCATGGAATCAGTCTACATTGGATCGGGGCTCCTCACCATCCCTGGATCCCTCAATGTCCACCTGCCCCCTAGTGTCCAGCTGGTGCAGTGTTGACCCTCGACTCTCCCCTCTCCCCAAACATCTACCTATGAATGTAGCTTCTTTTTGGAGATTATGCTTGGAATATGTCCACATCTGTTTAATTTTAGCAAAGTTCACAAGTGATAAGTCACTAGAACCCTATCCTACTTCCACGTCAGCACAGTTCACCTCAGGCTACTCTTCTGGGTTGCCGTATAGTCTTCTACTGCAAACTGCTACGGTTTGTCCGCTTTGCATATCCAAAAGGACTCTCTCAAACAAAGCTTACCAAACTTAATACTCCAGTATCTCTGTCACTGAACAAATCTGCATCTCTATTTGGTGGTTATTTTAATCTTTTTGTGGCTGTGACTGCTCTGATCTTAGGGAGAGACCTTTAAAACTACTTTATGACAACACAAAGAGGTCTGATTAAGATCCTACCCCCTGAATCCATTGTTCTTTTTTCTGCGTCAATATAAATAAAAAATTAATATGCATTAAAAAATGTAATTCAATTATTTCTCCTCCAGCAAATCCTCTCCTTTTGCTATTTGTAATCATATTTATCTTGGTCTCTGTAATACTTAATCAGTTACTGACAATGATGTAATATCAACAGGGAAAAAGCAAGACTTGTGTAACCTTGAAAACAGGTCACACTGTAGGCTTGCCAGAGATTGTACTGAGAACACAAGCAATCAAACTGTTCTTTTCTTATCTGCATTTTGATAAACCTGACAAATGGACTCTTTAAAAAAAACAAATGAGTACAAAAGTGTTGAGTGTCTATATAACAAAAGGCCCTCTTCCTTTTTTCTAAAATAACTTTATAATTGTATGACCTGTTTTCCACATTCATAGCTATGGATAAAGTGATTTCTTTAGCACACTACACAGGATTTGTATTAAATAACGTTACGGACAGTTCCAACACATTCTTAAGGAGATTAAATTATTATAATACTACAATATGTTTTCTGATCTAATTAAAAGCATGTTCTTTAAACATCTTCAGTACATCTTCAAACAGTCCTCGTAAAGGGTTTGTGGTTTCCTATAATTTTCATGTTACAATTTTCTTAATACTTAATGATTTAGACTAGACTAAGTCTCTGTTTCTGTACTCAGAAAATAAACAAATACTAAATTTAAATAGAATTTAAACATTTGATCGCAAATGTTTTAAGCTATTAATTCAGAAGAAGTAAACAATACTCTGAAGTTTACTGGAATTGTGCTTCATTTCTATGCATTTTGTAAACTGAAAGAAACCACGTTGACTGACAGACCTGTGGCAGAATTTCATCATTTGTAAGAAGGCTTTTTAATGATTTTAAATTATAAAGTACATTTCTTCCAGTGCTTGCAATGGCATTGGAGTTAATCTAAATTCAATATTAAATTCACTACACCATAAAAGGACCTCAAAACCTTTTTTTCAGGCAGAAATGATGTGTTCATAATTCAGTGGTGCTTGCCAGGTAAAGTAATAATCTATAAACTAGGACAGAGGGCCATTTATTGCAAGACATTTTATACATGTTTGAAATTTAAGTCTGACATTTCAACATCAAAATATGACAATACTTTGTATTTTGTTAAAACAGCTTAAAAAACTAATGACACAACTCAAGACACACAGACAGACAGTATGCAAATACAGGAGTGTTTCTATAAATAAGGGGACAACAGTGTCCATGGTTATGCAAATATAGTTGCAGGTTTAACAAAGAAGGCCATGATGCACACTGTGCACACACTTTTCCAAATGGTCTTCAAACAGGTGAGGCTTGAACTCTTACACCAATGCATAAATCCGTTGTAGATGAATTGTGTGCTAAGCTCCTGGAGCCTAGACTTTCCCATTTATTGCAAATTGACTAAAACTCTTTTGTTCAGTAATAAATTGCCATCACCAGAGGGCATCTCATAGACATTGATACTGGGTCCAGTGTCACATGAGGCTCTTGCATTTTCTCCCCCATAATGATGATCTGAACCTACATCCCTGTTTCATCGTGATCTGCACAAAGCAACAGAATGCACCACCCGTGTGTATTGGAAAACAACTGTGAGTTGCTTCAGTACTCTATGCAGACATTCCAGTGCTCTAACAACACATGTAGTGCACTGTGCCCTAAGAAACACAGAGTTTATCTGCAGTGACTGCAGGTTTTGTGCATCTGTCTTTCCTAATCATTCTCTCAATGCAGCAAACATTATGTCCATTCACTGTAGGTGTCACTTGTATAACAGGGCACTAACAAGTGGCACTAAGCATATTACAGAAGTGGCATCACCCCCTAGACACCTTAAGGGTGCAGAATTCATCTGAGCATGATCAAATCAAAGCAAGGGAAGAGCAGACCTGATCTCTTCACACCTCAACACTCAGAATGTTGAAAAGCTCGGCATCATGTCCAACATATTGTGTTTCTGTGAGATGACATGGAGACCGTACAAGCTGTTGATGAATTTACGCTTGTGTCTATCCTTTGCACACTTAGCATGCTGTGTACCTCATTTGCAGGAGGCCAGACAACTTTAAACATGCTTGGCATTACCACAGGAAGTTATGTGCTCAAGTAATTTTATGATAAAGAAGACTGTGTTACAATGCTCCACCTATCCCATTCCTTTCAGGTAACCACATTTTTTGGTCATGCACTACCTTGTAAACTTATTTATGGAACAGCACTCATTCTATAACTTCCAAGTATACATACAGTACTGCACATATCCACTTTATTTATTTCTGTTCTGATAACATTACTCAAAGATAGATTAGCAAGTAAGACATTATAACTACATGTTAGTAGTTCAAGTACTGTAGGTAGCTGCGTCAGCATGCGTAAGCTGCTATGGAACAAATAAAGATTTATTCCATGCTTAAAAGAGAAGAAAGGAAACACAATGTTTCGGCTGTGGAGCCTTCTTCGAGCTGTGTTCCGTTATAACTAAATGTTTACCCTTTATTCCTCCATACTATATATTTTAGATCCAAAAAAGTGTGTTGATGCAATCCCAATTAAAATCAGAATAGAAAATTGCACACTTACAGTAATTTCATACCAAAAAATGTGTGATTTCACTCCATGTTCATACGTTTGCCAAAACACCAATGGCTTCTGATTTTGGATTCAAATTCTAACCAAACTTAGACCCTGCAGTGTGACAGTATGTACTGTAGGTTAATCTTTTCACTTGGATATGTAACTTTAGCTCTCTGATCAGAACCTTGTTTAATGTTTGTTTTGTGTGAGGTAGGACATGGGACTAAACATTATTTTGTTTAAAATTGTTACCCTCAGAATTGTACTTTTGTTGCCAAATAAGAAATTATTTGATGGTTTGTGGTTTTCATAGCTTTCAGCCCATTTTCACACACACAATTAGTTTAGAATTAGAGTATATAATACCTTCACCACAGGAGTCCAGAAATATTTTTTTAAATAATGCATGTCAGTATATCACAATTGTAACACTAAGGTTAGGTAAAGGGAGAATTGATCAATAAACATTTTAAGAAATATTAGAAAAAATACTTTTGTTCAGGAATTAGTTTTCAATACACTTTGGAGGTCCTTCTTTGAATTTCATATTCATTTTAAACTATGGCATTATGCAAAAGCATTGCAAATATGCTTAGTTTGACTGGAAATTCATAAATATAGTGTAACATCCCTTACACACAGCTCAGCATATTGGTTATTTTTACGTAACAGTAAAAAACTGAGTTGTTTCACAACAAATGCTCTATATGAGAAGCATGATCTCTGCTTATCTTCAAATATTCCACTTCCTAGAAAAGCATTGTTTAAATTTATATCTTCTGTTTTCTGTTTTATGATTCTCACATACTACTTTACTTTATGCATACATGAGGCTCCGTCATGCTGGGTGTGCAAAATGAATTAGACAAAATATTATTTAGAGCAGATATGAAGCCTATCACTTATTTTATTACTACTTTCCCCATCATTACATTGTCCTTGATAACCCTAACTGCTTCACAAGGTAACTGGATGTGTTTTTTTAATTCTGGATGTCTTTTTAAGACATTGAAAACTGACGTCTTGGATATACCTGTAGAGACATTCTGATTACATACAATACAAATATGTTTGCACTATACACTAAAATAATATGGTGCCTTAGTCATCTCAACTAATCAGTTAACACTGTACCTGATATAAAGTGAATATATTCACTAACGCATTAAGTTATTAAGTGTAGTAAACATTGTCTGCAAAATTTACAAATTAATCAAAAAATAATCCATGTTTACTGAAGACTCATTGATCCTAGTAAATACCAGGTAGGATTCCCAGTGAATTAACTGGGGTACGAGTGTGAACATAATTTCTCAATTACAGATATCTATAAGAGATATCACTGTCAATAAGGCGCAGATATATTATACTACAGTATATGTGCTGCATAAACAAAATTGCTACAACAGTTGTTCTTCATTCTGTATAGAAAATAAACTAAAGGAAGAAAAGGGTTATCCTTGTAGTCTGAGACACACAGTAGACTGATACGTTTCCAAATTTATCGAAGCGTCCTTACCTTCACAAAGAGCGAGATCTCCGCTTGATCGGGGTCCGCTTTGTGTGTCTCCCCAATATTATTGTTGTCAATAATTTGATGGTTGTTGAAATCGACTTCGTCGGTCCCGGCGGTCTTTGTTGGCAATCGGTAAGCCATAAGCATCCCGTCATCAACGTTGTCCTCTTCCACCTCTGTGGGACTCGCCATTTCTTCTTCACCCAGGTTATGTTCCACGGGTTCACTTTGTTGGGAAGAGCTTGAGCTTCCAGAACGGGCTCTTTCTATGTTCAGAAAAGCGGATGGCTCTTTCTCATTTTCACTATGCTGAGACGAAGACTCGTAGTCTTCATTCATGCCTCTCACTGAAGACTGAAACCCTTCCTTCTCGTCGTCGCCCTGATGGGAAGAAGACGAGGATGAGTCGTCGCCTTCCTTCTCACTTCCCTGGATTAACGGAGGCTTGTTCTCATCCGGAGTTTGTCGAGTGTCCATGTATTCCGGGGAACCGGTGGACAAAGGAGACGCAGGATCCATCTCTGGCAATGACTCGTAGGTTTGGTCCGCAAGGCAGGAGCTTACATCCTTCACGTCTGTTGGACGTTCATACACAGCACCTTGGTTGTCATTTTTGTTTTCATTTATATTCTCATATTTAGGAGTTTCGTATTGGTCATCCGGAGTCTCATAGTCGTTTTCAGTTTGAATTGTTTCATAAATGTTGTCACGGCTGTTTTTATCCATGCTTGTTAGTTTTGATTTGGTTCTGTGCTTTCAGGATAAGACGTGCTAACAGGTGCCTGCAAGCTACTCTGAAGAAATTCACCAGTCTGTAGCACTATGCTCCGACTTGCCTTTTTTCACAATAGCCTGTTGCTGTAGATCTGGGTGCGCATGAGCGATTTCTAACAATATCTTACAGAGAGCAGGTACTTTGATCAGTAGTCCGGTCTACGCGCAATAAAAACAGACCTGTACTTTAAAGTGTGATTGGGATGTTAAAAACAGTAATAAGCTTATTTTGCCCCTACTGGCAATTCAGAAAATATCGTTTATAATATCTTTTATTTAAAATATCCTTAAAGAATGTTTTGCATATAGGAGTAGAAGTAGACCACTCAATGTTTTTTTTTTTAAAACTTATTTTAACGTATTAGGAGATGGATTTCCTTTTAGTTTGGTAAATCGGGCTGTGTAACAAGGCTGTTTACTTGTCTAAAAACAAACTTTTTACCATAATACTGCAGTTAGCTTTGTAAACACTGGATTTGTGTTTTAAAATATGGTTACATATAAAAAAAAGACAGTGGCAATATACTGTACAGTATATCACATAAAGTTACTGAAATAGCACCAGTAAACAAATAACACTGATATTATTACGGAATTAATATGTAGCCAGCAAAACCTAGATGTAACTAAAATATGTATATTATATATAATATTTATACGCACAGTACATCCATAAATACAGCTCCGAACAAAAGTTGACACTCAGCTGTAGTTGTACAGTATATATCTAACTGTTAGTTTCATCTTCATCATCATCATCAACGTGAAGGGTTCATCATTTATACTTTGTGCCAATATGAACATTGATGATCCATTAAATCTCAGGCTAGTCTGTTTTTCTTCATTTACATTTTAACTTCCGTTTTAAATTCTTTAAAATTAACAAATACAAATGACTATATTTTTAGTGATCTAATCAGCTATTTTGAAGGTACCAGAGTAAAAAAAGTCTTGACACAACCTTCTCAATACTGATGTCACTTAACTGATAGAGGCAAGTAGAGGTCATTGAGGATGATAATGGTGACAATGATGAAAATACCTTGTATTACCTGAAGTGCATTCATTATCATGTTTCTGACACATTCTCTGGAAGTCTGTGCATTTACCTGCTTCTGGTAACACATTTAATGGCTACATTCTGGAGCACATTTAATGGCTACAGTATGAAGCTAATATCAGCTTTATAATTCCTCAGAAGCTTCCAATTTTATTTATTTTGGTGCTGAAATGTTATTGTTCATTTAAAGGAAATCCAAAACTGTAATGACATTTTATTAAAGAAGCCAGGGTATTGTTTTCAATAATATGGCTTGGTAGTTTGTTCCATACATCCAGGCCTTTGTGTAAAGAAATGCCTCCTATCACTTGATTTTAAATACTCTTCAACATAGTTAACACAGCTGCTGTCTGGTTTGTGTTTCACTTAGGAAGGGAGTGTGTCTTATCTGCTTTAGGTTGAAAGGATGAACCTTAGTACTAAATTGTGCTTGTTCAAGCAAATCTCAGTTTACAGCCCTCTATAATAATGGTTATCACCACCACTAGTATGGAGGGATTATTTTATGTCAACCACTTTAGACTTCTCATGGTAAGCCATCAATTTAAATTATTATACATTAAAATATCCCAGATTTCTCATCCCTTTATTATCCCTTTATTCATATAACTCAGTCTTTAGTTAAGGCCTAGCAGATTTAATATTCTATTAAAATATAAATATTATATATATATATTCTATAATGAAATCAGCTCAGACACATTTAGTTTAAATGTATACTGTGTACACCTTAAAAATATGAAAAAATAGAAAAATCTCTTATCCTACCAAATACAGGTAAAATGCATCTCTTGGATCTCTTTTTTTCTCCTGTTTAGCTTGCATAAATTAAGAATAATCGGTGTGTGGCAGCACATTTAATAAATGCTTCTCATGTTAAATACAAAGCTGTTTCCTTGTGAAAGATAACCAGATGCTATTTGACAAAGAACACATGACCCAGTTTGCCAACATACATTTTATTGTCCTTTGCTCAGCAAATAAAGGAAGCAAAGTGCTGCTAGCACTGATAGGACCTGCAAAGCAATCAGCCACACTAAATTTGTCAGAACTTGTTCATTTTTAGACAGCGTGCTTGCAGAATGTTAGGAGAGCTGAATGCCGACTAAAGTGTTTTGTGGAACATCCATTAAAGAAGACTGAAGGCCTTTGTAGGAATTCTTTAGGAGTCAGATATTTTTCAAGCTATCCATCATTAAGCTCTTCTCTGTTCACTCTGGGACACAAATTCTGTCCACTTTTTCCAGAAAATGTACCATGCCCTCAATCCAAATTTCTAAATATCTGAAGTGGAGCTTTTGTGTCCAGAACTTGAAAAAATGTTAGCAACAGGTGATTTAAATTCCTTTCAATGAGGCAGGCAAAAGTTAAAAAAATAATTTTCAGCCACTGTATCCTTTCATTATTTTCATCCTGTTGAGGTTCTTTTAAAGTCAGGCATGTGGACAACAATACAGAGAAAATTGTCTGCTTTAATAAAAATGTCCCATATCAAACCACAACAATACATTCTTAGGTCTAAACTAAAAAAGTGTTGCGTAATTTATCTTGCTGGTGTGTAAACATACTGTAATAGTGCATATATTGAAACAATACGTGTTGGCTCAATGTTTTGCATATAATGGATGTGTGTGTTTTTTTAAATTCACAGAATTCTGTAACCCTCTGTAATCTAGTAACCCTTTTACTCATTTTGTAACTTTTCAGTTACATGTTTTAATAGACAATACTTTCCAAAACAGCTTATATAAAAGTAATTGAGAGGATAACAGTATTGTCATTAGATGGTCATATCCTTTTTTTCCCCTCTGTTGTACACTTATTGTTACACTGTATTAAATATTACACTGTATTGTTTTCATATGTGCATTTTTATACCACAGCATTGTCACCTCATATAATATCACATTCATGTCATAGCAAATTCTCTGCTTACTGCTTTTATCTTCATCTTATTATATACAACCTGTGTATTAATGCAAGAGATTCAAATTACTTTGACTTCTGGGAGAAACTGGTTTGGAGCTGTCCAGGACCAGTTATTTTAGCAGACTGAGCTGTATTTATTTGTGCTCTCTAAAAAGTAGTTTGGTTCCTAACATTTTGATTTTCAGTTTCTTCCTATGTCTGCCTGTCATGTGTGTCTCACACTGTCTTCCTCTGATCATGCTATTTATCCAACAACATGTGTTGTCATCAGATGTTCTGTGAGTGAGTTTGGTATGCACTATGTACTGTAATTTGATTGGAATTGTACTGTATCTCTTAGTCTACATCACTGCTGGGATCTTACAGGTCATTATTGTTTAGAGGTTTTATTACCAACTTCTGGTTTTGTGTGTTCAGCTTTTTTAGACACCCTACCCTTCTTTTTAATCTCTACAAAATTGTTGATTGTTCTATAGAGAAACGTCTCTTTAAAAAAATAACAATTATTTGCATGAGAAAAGGAGTGGATTGTACAGTCCTGAAAGCAAAAACTCCAAACATTTATTATTCTTTCTATATTATTTTAATAACAGGTATCAAATTCCAGCACCACTCTTAACTCACTGGTATATTTTAAATAGAAAAACTGCTAATTTTCTTTTCATGTTTTGTGTGTTTTTTACAATGTTTCCTGTTAATATGAGGGTTTGTCTTTGTAATTAAACTCTTCACAGGAAACTGGAGCAAGAATGAGAAAGTTTATAAATAAACCACAGTAAATATGGCAAATAACTTTTATGCGGATTCCCAAATAGCTTAAGCAAAGAAACAGACAACCTGAAATTAACAGAAAAATGACACAACCTAATCAATTTACTCTGATCTGCTTTGTGAAAATGGCCCTTAAGGTGTTCTCCTAGACTATAACCATTACAGCCCTGTTTATCCACAAACTACCACATACTGTAGTATAAAAGTCAGTGTAAAAGTGTACACTTGTAAAAGTATAGTGTAAATGTCAGTAAGAAACTATAACAGTAGAGTGTTTTTCAAAAGGCAAAGTAAAGGTCATATTGTATAACAACCCCTTTCTAGTTCAGAAGCAATGCAACGTAGACTATAGAGTTTTCTAGTCTATTTAATGCTATTTTTACATTTTGGAGTTATAATGAATCAGCATTGATGACTGCACAATTAAACTACCAAGTACTTGTGTACGCCCTCCAATTCGCATCACAGAAGATTAGCGCTGTATTACCGTCATTGTCTGCCATTGCGAAAGATGCAACAAAACTTCTGGTGATGCAAAAGTGGCCTATTACATTGTAAACATGCTTTAGGCCAAGCATTTTTTGCTACTAAATTAATAGTAAATAATTTAATAAAACCGACTAATACAAGGCAACAGGTTTTTAGCTACTGTAGTTTTAAGTATGTAAAAAAAAGAGCAACCTGCTAACCAAATAAAATATAGTCATAATAATTCATATTGTTAGGAGATCATGTTTCTCATTTGCTTACAGCAACTAATGAGCAGGAAGGGACGCTTTCACATCACAGTTTGCGTGACCTCTCGCTCTTGCCTGAGGCGGGACTAGAAATTTCTGCCTGCAAAGAAAACATGGCAAACATACAGTACTTTCAAAAAGCTCACAATTTTACACTTAATGCAAAATGTGTCCAATTTTGCAATACCGTCAATTAATTTATTTTGTTACCGACATTAACCAGTCTGAGACATTGGGACCACAGTTTGCCTTTAAGTCCCTATTGAAGGATTAACAGTACATCTAGTGTAACCTATCAAACAAAAAACTGGAATTATAGTTTACTTGAGTATCTAAAGTTAAGCCCAATATCATTTTATGTAGCTCATAATTATGTAATTCATTCATTGAAAGAGGAAGAACCCTCTTTTTCACACAACTTCAGTGAGAAAGAAAAATCTCAGTTTATTTCATATTTTCTTTACTGCAAAGATCTGAATAATTTATTTTGACATCTTGCATTAATGAGGGAAAGGCTTTTGGTCACATCTTTAAGATTAGCTCCATTGAATTAAAAATTAAAGTATGTGCTATGCTTGCTCTTCAGTCTAAAATATAAGGTTTTCAAA